TTTGTGTCCTTCACTACTAGAGCTCAATCAACCACATGCTCACACAAAATCCATGTTCATGTTTATAAAAAAAATTCAAACTACGAGTAAGGCAAGAAAAGAAACAAAACAATGGACACTCAAATCTCGTTCGACTTTAGTCCAAAGATGTTCCATTTTCTAATCAGAAATGAATTGACCAAAAGTTTCCAGCTTTAGAAAGAAACTAACTCACATGACCTTTCTACACTTTCAAATCAAAGCTTGATTATCAAAATCAAACCAAGAAAAACGAAAGAATCAAGCAACAAATCGAACCCATGTAAAAAGTTTGAAACTTTCTGTAAATAGAAACCCTAAATGTACAGAGGAATCAGCTTATACCAAGCACACATCAACAAAACAAAAAGCATCAAGAAAGAGCAGAACCAAGATCGGAGGTTGAAGAGAGACCACCACGCCCACCGGCGGAGGAACCGGAAGCTGTCGAGGGAGAAATCGCCGGTTTAGCTGCCTTATCCGGTGGTGGTAGCCTCTGGTCGGCCATGGAAGTAGAGGAGGTTTTGGAGCCTAGAAAGTCATGAAACAAGAGCTTATCTTGCTCTTTCTGTCGGAGACGAGAATCAACATCGCCATTGTTGTGGTTCACCATCATCAATCAGTGTGTGTCAGTGTGGCCACTTCGCCACCACTTCCTCCATTACAGTCGCTGTATTTTCATGGACACACTCAACGAGAGAGAGAGATCAGAGAGTGTTTTTTTTCCTTCTAGGTAAGTGTAAAATAAAAGGTCAAGAAAAGTTGTCTTTTTGTTCTTGAAGCTCCTTTATTGGGTTTCTCTTACATGATTTAATAATCAGATCTTTGTAATAAAATATACTTAAAAATATAACATAAGTTAGATTGTAAAATCATGGTGTTTATAGAACTTCTTTTTTGTAAAAAATTAAGGTATCATAGGATTCATAATGTTAAAACTGTTAAAGAAACACACTTTATTGATTTGATAAAAGTTAAATGTGTATCTAATGACTAATCTAACCAACACACTACTAACCTATTATCCGCACTCAGAAATCAATTTGGTAAAGTTGTCATTTATAAAAGTTTTTTGTTGTGGTACAATGTTAAATACTTTACAGAAATGTGGGTAGTTAACTAGATTTTTTGTTGTTATTGTTGTATAAGTTCACTTGACTGGTTGATTATTATGGCAAATTCGATATGTTTGGTTTTGAGATTAGAGTTGTTGAATTTTGGATCAAGTGTTTGATTTTATACTCTAATCTGAGTAGGAGAGAGAATATTAACCTATTTGTGGTGAAATCGATTTTACAACCACTCATCATGACGAACTTCCCACTTGATGATGCTATTCTGACTCTGATTCTTTCTACTTTTTGCAAATTTCTAGGGTCTAATCGATTCTTTTTTCCTTTGACAACATGGTCTAGTTGAATTGAATTTATCACAAAACTATGTGACTAGTAAACTTTTCATACATATACACGGTAAAACTTAAAATACATCTTCCTTATATTGTTTAACTTCAAAATATTACTAAGATAGCAAAGCTTTCTAATTTCACTTTTTTTTTATGATTTTTCGACACGCAAATGCTAAAGCAGATCATTTAGCTAAGCAGTCACGAGTTCATTTTCAAAGATACACAGTAAGATGGCCAATGTAGTGTTTTGTAATGGAATGAAAACATTGGACGACAAAACAAAAACAAAAAACAATCAACAAGGTAGAATTCTTATTGTTATTTGATAATATATATTTGAAACATTATTGGACCAGCATTTTACGAAATCTGAAAACTGCAGAGACATAGCCTAATCGATAACAGTAAATGTGAAAACATAAACTTTTAACCATAATTAGAAATAAACGTGCTAAAATAAGATTATGCTAATTGCAACATTCAAACACTGCTCGAGACCCCCCCGAAAGCATCGAACTAGTAGGTGTTGATTTTAAAAATATTTTTATAAAATCTTTAGAGTTTGATTGGGTTGATATAAGTATAATTGTCTTTTGTATGATAACACGTTTCGCTTTCTTGCTCCCTAAAATAGTTAATCTCTGAAGTATATTAAGGATTTTTTTTTTT